TATGCCCAGCTTAGATTAATAATCCGTTTGACTCACGGGATCATCACCGCGGAACTTATGGCAACTTTGACTACCATTTAAATACGTGCTTTAAGACACCTAATCATTACTAATTTTTCACACCTAAAAGTCACGTATGCCCAGCTTAGGTTAATATTCTATTTGAGTCACGAGATTATCACCGCGGAACTGCTGGCAACTTTGACTACCATTTAAATAGGTGTTTTAAGACACCTAATAATTACTCATTGTTCACACCTACATATCATGGATTCACAGCTTAGATTAGTAATCAGCTTGAGCCACGTGATCATAACCAATAAATTTATGGTAACTTTGAAACCATTTAAAGAGGTGTGTAAGACACCTCCGAATTACTAATTTAATATAACCAGAGATTCACGGACAGAACAATAAGACGATTAGCCGGTGTAAGCAACGTGATTATTACCATCAACCTTGGATAACCTGTGAAACCAATCGATAAAGGTGCTTACAAGACCAAATAATTACGTATTTATCGCCACCATCGGTTAACGGACAAAAAACTCGTTGCCTGGTCAAGTGGTTATTTGGTCATAAACACTCCACTTACAGAGGTAAGTGGAATCACGTTATTCCAGTCGCGTGATAAACTGGTGGTTTTTAGGTTAGATGAAAACGTGAACAGGAATACCTTTTTTGTTTAAATGAAGGCACGTGTCGATAACGTTTAAATCTAGTTCAAAAGGCGCTATACTTTAAAATCACTTAAAATACACTCCCAAAAGAGGTTACTTTTTAGTGTTCTGTTTATTGGGCGGGATTTACTTTGCTACCCGAACAGACTTAAACATTGAAATATAAGAACGCTGACATATAAGAACACTGAACTATAAGAACATTGAAATATAAGAACAACGTGTTTTGTAACATTATCATTGTTTAACTACTTGGATGAACCGAGATAGGACAGGCCCTCCTTCAGGTCAGTGATAAACCTGTCCAAACCCTCATTGGAGAGATGCAATCCGTCCGGCCTATATAAAGCCCTATCCTTATGCCTTATGTCGGGGTGTGGAATGGCCTTTCCCCCATTCCTGCCGGCCAAGGCGCTAGCGTATCGGTTCGTGGCCCTCCTTCTATCGTCTAATTTTTTCTGCTCTTCCGGACTACAGAATTTATATTCTACCCGTTCTAGGCTGTCAGACCATATTATTGTCGTCTCAGTGTTCGATGTGATTAATCTGTTCACCGAATTCGCCATCGCCCTCTTCGAACATCCCTCTATGTCATTCGTGCCCACGTGTAACACTAAAACGGTCGGCTTCGTCAGGCCACTGGTAATCGACTCTAGCCATGCGTTTGTTTGGTCCAAGCGAAGGCCCCGCTTTCCAGCCCAATGGATGACCGTCCCCAAATCCATATCGGCGCAGCCAGTCCGCTCCGCCCTGCGATGGGCCCAGAAAACGATAGAGTCGCCTACTATCCATATTTGTTCTGTGGACAAAATAAGAAAAGAGGACTGGGCAGCATTTTGTATTCCAAAGAACATGCGTTAATGTGAACTTGAAATCCCATTGTGTTTTCTTGCTCTTGTTCTGCATGTATGTTTGTTGTCTGCTTGACTTCGTTTTCATTTTCATGTTGTAGCACCATTATTATTATTATTGCTATTATTATTATTAGCTTATTTAACCTCTCGAGGCGAGGGACTTATTCCTCTGTGTGTTGTACATATATTCATTCCTGTGTATGCGGCCTCACCCTTACATTATTGGCCCCGGACACGTTAACCTCATCATTCACTCTGTTATATTTTGTACGTATACCTGGCGAATCAAATCAAATCAAATCAAATCAACCCCAACGGTACTTTGCAACATTGCTCATATTTAAACAACCGTATCAATATATCTGCGATGCGCTGAGGAAGCCCATCGACCCATGTGCTGTATTTGGGCGTCCGAGCAGCCCGCCATAGCCAACATTTGGCCGCCAACATATCTCTGTATGACATGCATCTCTTTATCATGGCACTGAACTCATGCTTGGTGAGAGGAAGTGAACCATATGAGCAAAAGAAAGCCTCCCCACTTCCCGGGCGCATTTTCAAATATATAAGGACCGCCTTTACGGGACAACTACCCGCCTCAATTTCGTGTATTGAAATGGTGCAACCGTTTCCCCTCGGATCAGTTTTCGATTCCCTTAAACTAAGAGAGACTCACCCGGCGATGTGGTGCACTGCCGGTGACTGCCACGTCCGTGAAGCGCAGCATTCGATCCCGCCTATGCCGTGATGCCATTGTGTGATGTGCGACCAGGCCAAAATAATGATATGGACTCTCCTTTCTAATCAGGCCCAACGACAAAGGCCAGCCCAAAACCCGAGTATAATCCCGCTGGTCGCTCACGAGAAGAAATAATTCAGCGTTATATATCCAACTAATTATTCCAGTGCAGTGCTAACTTTAGTATTAATCCAAATCCTCTAATAATGTTTTAGACTCCGTAAATTTTTCTTCTTGTCCATTCAAAATGAAAGCCATAACTAGAATGAAAGCCCCTTCGTGCTATTTTTAATTTGCTGGCGGTATTTTCCGCGCTTGCTTGATAAGCGTACATACGCTTGTACATTTCCTTCCAATGTAATACAAAGTATTACATTTCCTAGCGCGTGAATTTCCCTCAAAAATGTAAACAACCTCTTGACCTACATTTTGTCAGCCTGTCAATAAACCATTTTAAATCGTTGTCTACTCTTTAAATTTTATTAATGTAAACAAAAAATATAATTGAAGGCCTGCATGACATGCCATGATTTCGCTGTGGTTCGCTGTAGAATATGTCTTACAATATTGTTATGTTTCTTCACAATACAAATCGAAATACTGAGCAACCTGCATGACTTTTTAATTTTTCTTTTCTCTATATATCTCTTCTTATTTTCATACGCCGTATATTTGATTCTTACGTGCAGTGCGCGCTGTTTTACCCCCCCTCTCTCTCTCTCTCTCTCTCTCTCGTTCTGAACTGATTTGTGATGTTCTGAAATATCTTCCAATGGATCAACACAAACACTATTGTGGTATGATTTAGGGAAATTACATAATTTCTTTGTCACTTTGGTGGCAAATTATTCTTCATTGTATAACCAGTATGCTGGGTATAAAGAGAGTGGACTCGGCTATACCCTGCTGGAAAGAACACACTCATTCACACTCATTCACAGTGTGAAACACAGTGTGAAAACGTAGCTCACACTGTGAACACAGTGTGAACACACAGTTCACACTGTGAACGGAGTGTTTTCACAGTGTGGACACCGTCACAATGTGGTAAACCACACAGTATTCACATTGTGAAATTCGATTTCACAGTGTGAATGTACCCGCTCACAGTGTGAAAATGATTTCACAGTGTGACCAAACTGTGAAAAATATTTCACACTGTGATAAATAGATTTTCACAGTGTGAATACCTTACGAGATACATTACACAGTGTGAACAGTAAATTTCACAGTGTGGCCACTCTGTGAAAAATACTTCACATTGTGAAAAATAGAATTCACAGTGTGGCCGCCCTTTGGAAAATATTTCACAGTGTGAACTATAAAATACACAATGTGGCCGCTCTGTGAAAAATATTTCACAGTGTGAAAAATAGAATTCACATTGTGGCCGCCCTGAGGACAATATTTCATAGTGTGAAAAGTAAAATTCACAGTGTGGCCACCCTGTACAAATTTCACAGTATGGCCACTCTAGCTGTGACAAATATTTCACAGTGTGAGCGGTATCATTCATAATGAGGCCGCTCTTTGAAAACTATTTCACAGTGTGAAACAGTAGATTTACATAGTGTGGTCAGTGTTATAAATACAGTACACATAATGAATTCCTCATCCACATTGTGAATCCTGATCATTAACAGTTTTGTTTTGCATATGTATTTGCTCAAAGGCCATACCGTACCACGCGTAGCATACTTTTGTGTACGTATACACTGAACTCTACCCGTATAGCGTACAATAGATACCACGTGCGCGTGCATGCAGCTCTCTTCGTTTTCAAGAATGTGGCAGGAATGTGGTCCTTGATTGTGTTCGTAATTTGTCTTGTTCCGGTATAGTTTTAAATAAGATGACAACAACTGAAGAAAAAATCGAATACTCGTGTATTGGATCGAGGCCAAACAAGTTTCCGTGATATAAGATGAATATGTACAACCAGGGAGGTGAGACTTTAACTCACATGCCCTGGTACAACTACAAAGACGTGTTGACGGATGAGAACATAACTGGAATGGCGGACATGGCCTGCATGGTGAAGTTTCCCAACGGCTAGGATAGCTATCAGGCGAGGGTGCTGACGGGCTGCTGCCGAGCTGCTGCGTGGCTGTCATCCCAAGTAACAATTGGACGTTTTCTGAACGTTCTAAAAAGGTTCCAAATTGGTTTCCTAAACGTTTTGTGAAAACGTTCTAAAGACGTCTATTTGTGGTAGGTTGAAAACGTTTTTTGGAACGTTCCAAATGGACGTTTTTTGAACGTTTTCTAAACGTTTTTAGAACCAATAAAAAACCTTTTATAGATTTGCTTTTAAGTGCAAGGACCTGCAGAAAACCTGTCGGACGTTTGGGACGTTTTAAGAACGTTTTAAGAACCTTAAAAACGTCCGGAAAACCTTTTAGGAACGTCTAGAACGTTTCCAGGACGTTTAAAGAACGTCTAGAATGTCCAAGAGAACCTTTTAAGAACGTGTAGAATGTACTGGAAACGTTTTGAAAACGTTCAGAAAACCTTTTAAGAACGTCCAGGACATCCTGGAAACGTTTTGAGAACGTTTAGAAAACCTTTTAAGAACGTCTAGAACGTCCTGGAAACGTTTTTAAAACGTTCAGTAAGCCTTTTAAGAACGTCTAGAACGTCCTGGAAACGTTTTAAGAACGTTCAGAAAACCTTTTAAGAACGTCCAATATACAGTGAATTTTTAATAAACGCTAGGTCACACATGTATTTGATTGATTTTATGAATTTATTATCAAACATATTTACAAAATATGTACAAAGGCTTGGCAATACAGTACATCATGTATATTTGAAAAAGAGTATTGGTATTTCCCGAAGTGCCCCCGAAAGAACATACAATTCTAATATTCAGAATAAATTGTTTTTTGATCAATATTGGTTCACAAACGGCTGAAATATCCATAAATATATTTTTATTCAAAATATTAAAAATGCTTGAAGACTACTTTGAAGAAGAAAAAATCTGAATAGTTCTTTAAAAAGCAATGGATATAGATATTTAATTAGTATTTTAACAAAAATTAAATGCAGAAACTGAAAGTAACAGGTCATTTTGATAATAACAGGGGCTTTACTTGGCCGTTTGTAATTATTACTTTGCACCGTGATGGTGCAGGTTTTGGTTTTAAAGTTAAGTTTGACCAATACTAAACTATCCCTTTAAAACTATAGATACATAACACATGAACAATCTACAAATAAAACATAAGAAAATGATAGATGAGTTGAAGATATGCCTCATTAACTGGCAAATATGAATACTCATATAATTCACGGGTCTATGTCTCTATGAATATACAAGGCAAGATAAAATGAATACTTTGAATAGTGTCAATAATTTGGCAGTACACATATAGCAACTTTGGTAACACACTTTATAAAAGCAATTTGAGTTATTTACAGAACCTGGCAATTCATGCCAAAAAGATGCCCCAGCAAATGATTAAGAAATCTTTCTACAATAAGTCTTGATCTTTGGTAAAACCAAATAGTGGATTTAATTTTTTGTGTACTATATCAAATTCAATGTGAATAAATTCACCAGAACCTTTTAACAAAATGTCACAAATTATCATTAAATACATGTGAATAACCGATTTAACTATGTGCCTCCACCCAGGATTAGCTTCATCATCCGGTGCAAATTATAACTATTCAAAAGAGTACATGTATTTACTTTCTCATCAACTTCTACAAGTGATAAAAATGTGACTATTTTAAGAAGTCACATTTCAAGTGAAAGTACGGCAAAAAAACACAAGGGAACTACACTCTTTTCAGCTCTACAAATTGGCAACAATGATGACACCAACTGTGAGTAGCTATCCATCAACTTTGTACATTCATATTTTCTAAATTTTCCTTAAAGTTACACATTTCCACAGCTTTTAATCAGAGTATGTTCAGATTACTAATGACGAATAGCTTTCTAGACAACATGCTTTGACTATGGGGGTTAGAAAATGTGAAATTTTGTGTACAAAGTGAATTTAGAGCTACTCAAGATGTCATCAGCATTGTCAATTTGAATAGCCGAGAGTAATTTACTAGAAAATGTAAAAAAAGTGTAGTTTCCTTACTTTGTTTTCCTTACCGAGTTTGCCCATTTCTTATTTTTAATTTTGTTCAAATTTGTCTCCTTTGATTGAAGCAGTGAAATTTCTAGGGTAGATTTCCCCTTTAAATCCGAGTACAAAATTGTCCTTTTGATCGACCAAAGATTTAGTGGGCAGGTCAAGATTTCCCAGAAGCCTTGCATTGGACCTTGCATCTTACTTCAAATATAAAATCAACACAAAACACATGAACAATCTACAAAAAGCTATTTACAATAAACTGATAGAAATTAGTTGATATGAATTATTAACAGGCAAATATGAATACTCAAATTTAAGGGTCTATGAATATGGAAGACAAGGTTATAAGAGAGTTTGGCAGCACACACATTGGCCCGAATTCACAAAGCAAGGTTTGAGCTCAAACCTCCTTTTGTTTCGCCAAACCTCCTTTTGTTCTTTACAAACCAGGTTTGTAAAAAACGCATAAAACGCGTCATATGACGTACGAAAACCAAGGTTTGAGCTCAAACCTCCTTTGTGAATTCGGGCCATCGGTTTCAGCATCCTTACAAAAAGTAGTAAATTTACAGACCTATACAACTTTGTCTTGCATTCTCAACAAGATGTTGGCAATTCAATCCAAAAAGATGCACCAACAAAACTGTTATGTCGCTGATAAAGTTTCTCCATTATTAGCTGAAATGGTCAAATTTGGTCTCAATATGAGTTTTAGGATTTTTGCATTGCCCCTGAATGAAGGTATCTTAATCTACCTTGAATGAAAATTTGGTGTTCACTGGTTCGGTAAACGGCTCCCTCAGGTCTTCCACATCAACGGCCGCTCCCGATTTGGACAAAAGCAGTTTTTGTACCAACTGCGTCAGCTGCTGCTGCCCTTCCTCCAGCCTCTGCAGCGTACACAGTACCTGCACTTGAAAATTGCCTGAGAAGAAAAAAACAGACACATAAAATACATTATAATAACAGTTCAAGTCATTAAAAAGTTTGACAGCAAATTAATAGGATATTTTGGAGAGATATGTTTGATAGCTGTCCAATTTAGTCACTTCAGGAATATATCACCCAGCTTCAAAGACGACACCTGTGCAGCGCTTCCAACAAAGTATACATACTGTAAGGATTTAAAAGCGACTCTTCTGTAAGAAAACTATACCCATGCCTTGTTAATGAAATAAATTACATGTACGCCAAGATAATCTGCCTCACTTATCCAATCCAACAGTATTTTAGTGTAGCAACTTAGTACAAATGGCAAATGTTGTTTTGTTAGTTTATACGCTCTACAGTATATGTTCTGATGATAAAAAAAACCTCAGAAACTTTCGTTTGTGAAATGCTATCTGAAAAAAACTTACTTTCCGAAGCCCGAGCCCTTGCTGGAGTTGTGGGTTGGAACTGAAAAATGCGATGTGGACTTGGACTTCGCATTCAGTTTCGGCATTGGTAACTCTGCTGCCACAGCCTTAGTCGTTCCTCCGTGTACATGTTGTTTTCTTGGGTCCGAACTGATTCAAGATCTGAAAAACAGAGACACATTGCAGATGTTAAAAGGGATATCAAGACATGACAAGAATTCTCATAAACTGAACAAACTTTTGGGTAATGCAAACTTCTTGTCCGAAATTTATGCCTAGATTACAAATTAATTTCCAGTTTTGCCGGAATGGTGCCACATCTATTAATCATCATTTTGCATGGCTGGGACACAAAGCAGGTCTAGCTATCCCAAATAAATTATCTTAGGTTTTCATCATCTGTTGGATTTTGAAGAAAACGAGAAATAAGATGTAAATTATAAGTCTCTGGCTGAGCCAAGCACTACTAACCATCAAGAGACAAATACTTACCAGCGTCACTTCCGGAATCACTAGAAGATTTGCTAAATCTCTGGGGGAAAGACGTCTCTTTCGCTTCTACACAGCATCATCTTCCGATACCAGGTTTGACGTGTCCTCTGCCTTCCTGGCGATATTTTTGCACTTTCACATAGTTGCCTGTATGTAAAAATAAAACAAATCAATCCTTAAGTTATTAATCTACGTTATTGGAAATCAATTTCTTTAAATAATGTGTAATCTGAACTAAAAAGATTTTTGTTTAAAGAGACGAAATTGAGAACAAGATAGGACTATAAATCTAGGTCTCGGTATTTCTAAAAAACAATATCCATACAAAAAAGGTGGTTTGGGAGCTATTTCAATTGCCTAAAAAACAAACCTGTTGTAATCGGGGTTGGGATAATATAAAGTTGCTAAATGGTGGTGGAGGGAAAAGCATGGAATGTTCCACTCCCGTGGGATTTTAAATGCTATTGAGGGAATAGTAAATAAGTCAAGAAATGAGCTGGTAGTCGAGGGACTTATTTTCTTCACGAAATAGCATTTTAAATCCCGATGGGAACTTTCCATGATTTTTCCAGACAGCAAAGTTAACAACTCAACTGTTTTAATCATCCGATTACCATGTAATGTAACGAGCCATGCGCACCTACCCACTCCAGCAAAGAGTCCATACTATGCGTATTGACCTCTAGCACTGCATTACGTGTTAAGAGGCAGCATTTGCTCAAAAGGAATAGTCGATACACACATAATACACAAATGCACTTATATCATGCCGATGCGGCTAGCTGTAAGCAAATTTTGACAGTAGACAAACAATTTGAATTTCTAAATTGTTCTTTTTAACAAAATAACTTCGGTAAGTTGAACAAATTGTATTTTATTACTGCTATTTAGGTTTCATCAATTGTCACTAAAGTACCGATTTTTAGTGAAAGAGTTTTGTACAATGGTGTTTGAAATGTTGAGTATCAATAGCACAGCTTTTAATACACACAGCCAGGATAGTAATGCAGCTATGTATGCACTAACTCAGGTATGCACTAACTCCAAGAAGCTCCGACGCCGTTCGGCATCGGAGCTTCCTGGAGTTATGTGTGCACATACCCTAGCCTACCCAATTACCATACCAGTCAATGCAATGAAAGTTTCAACGGCCTGCACATGCGACATAGAGTCTGCCGTACTTTTAGTTTTAATGCAAATAATCAATATTTTATTTCATTTTACATGCTTCAAAATCAATCAAACAAAGCTTAAATTCCTTACAGATATCAAAATGTTAAAATAACGCTTACCTCGGTGTCGCAGTCTAACAGATTATTTGAAATCTCGATGTCACGTCATCAAGCAGTCAACTCGGCAGTCAGTTTAAAACACGCGGCAAGCTCTGGAGCGAGCGCGCCGCACCGGCCGCGCCGGATACGATTCACTGACCTATACAGTGGTACGTATATACGGTGCGTACGCACTTTGTATACACGTGGTTGAATGGAGCATAGTAAATGACGTAGCGCGGTCGGACTGATTGGGCTGGGGGGGGGGGGGGGGGGGGAGGGGCACAAACATTATGTGAGGGGGAGGGGTCACTCCTTATGTATTTCTTTTTTCTTCAAATAATGTCACCTTATGTTTTCTATTTTTTTTCCTCAAAATTATTGGGGGCATGCACGTGCCTCCCTCCATCTCTACGCCACAGGAGTGCATCAGTTTGACACACCTCGACCCCCCCCCCCCCAAGCGTATGCATGTGGTCTAATTTCGCCAGCTGGTATTTTTTAAGAAATATTTATTTGGACATAAAAAATAAATTCAACAAAATACGTCTGAATAAAACGTTCTGTAAACGTTTTACAGGACCTATCCAAGAACGTTTAATTTGTAACGTCCAAAAAACGTTTTCTGAACGTCTTCAAAAGACCTAGCTCCGCAGCGAATGTAAGGTCCCAACTTAGACGTTATATAAACGTTTTTTAAACGTTTAATATGGACGAAGACGTACGGAACCTGATAAGAACGTTCTGTAAACGTTTTAAAAACGTTTTGTGTTTGCTGGGATTGAATGGTGAGTATCATCTTTGCTATACGTACTTCGCTCAGGGGAACGCTAGGAAGACACTTTTTCAAACATTTTTGGACATTACAATTGAGCATGTTAAACACACAAACTGTTAAGTAGTGTATATCGGCCATTTTAGGGGGGGGGGGGGTACTCAGATTATAGTCGGACGGGGGTGTGCGGCTGAGACCTCCGAACCCATACCCACATCCAAGGGTCCTTTTGCTGTAAATAGGTACCCATGTCTAAGGATTTTTTTTGTGAAAAATGGACCCACGTCTAAGGATTTCAAATTTCAAATATTACATTTTTTAAGCTGTAATAACACACTCCAGCAAAGCATATAGAGAGTTAACGCTAATGCGTATTGACCTTTAGCACTGCACTACGTGTTAATAGGCGGCATTTAAATACATGAATAGTCAATACACTCATAACACACAGATACACACAGTTATGCCGATGCGGCTGATCGGCAAGTTTGACAGTGGACTCACAATTTGATTTTTTTAATTATTCCTTCTAACATCAGAAAGTTGAAAAAATGTATCTTACTGCTATTTAGGTGTCATCAATCGTCACTTAAGTACCGATTTTGAGAGAAATTGGTTGATTTTTGTACAGTGGTGTTTGAAATGTTGAGAATCAATAGCACAGCTTTTAATACACAGCAAGGATAGTAATGCACCTATGTGTGTAATAATACAATGGCCAATCATTTTGCAGTTTCTCGATAAAATTCTTTATTAGTAAACTGTACCATACTACATGTATTTTACAAGTAGGCTACACATATTAAAGATGAAAACGCCATGCAACATTATTATACTGCGCTGGCACCTCTAGCATCTGTTTTAATTGAAGGACTTTTCCTGTTTTAATTAACGTACCCGTACACAAGCTCTCAAGCATCGGCTATATAGCTCCCTGCTTGAGCCCCGCTGCTGCCCGGCTGCTGGGCAGAGGGTACGCAGGGTATCTGCCGATCATATCATTTTCAGCGCGCGAAGCGCTACAAGTTCCCGGGGGGTACGAACCCTATACGGGCGGATAACATACCTAGCGCGCATTATGCCATATGAGTACCCGATATAGGGCCCATGGGGTCCTGATATATGTGGTACCCCGGGGTCTAGTTGAGTTTACGAGCTACGTACACCTCGTACACTGGAAATGCAATCACAGAAGGATTCCCCGGCATTGTTTAAGCCCCAGATTTATTTAGAGATGGTAGAGATTTAGGCATTTACAATGTAGGCTCGAGTATTTAGGAGCAAATCCTAAAATCCCGGAGAAAATGAGGGAGAAAAGAGGGGAAAGGAATAAATGAAAAAGAGGACCCATGTCTAAGGATATTTTTAATGAAAAGGGGACCCATGTCTAAGGATCTTTCCTGAAAAAGTCATCTTTTCGAGCGGCACATCCCCGTATACCCAATATACGTGAGTACCCCCTCCCCCCCCCCCCCCCCCCGCCCCGGCATTTAGGCGCTGGACTAGACCCTATATCACAAAACTCTGCCGAGAAAAGTGCAGATATTTCCAGATATGAACCAAATCAACCCTAGATTCTAAAGAGAATGATCCCATATTCCGAGTCATGAAAAAATTCAGGTAAGAAACAAATTTTGCTACAATTTATTTCATGTTTTTTTGTCGGTAAAAAATAGTCGGACGAAAATGCATAAAACTAAAATATAGGCCTAGCTCACTAGAAATGACATATGTTCAATAATAATGTCCAAAAATGTATGAAAATTTGTCTTTCTAGCGTTTCCTTGAGCTAGGAGTAGTATGAATAATGTTTGGTTGTGAACTGTGTCGTACTACAACTTTCACACTCGATCTGCGTAGGGTTGCGAAGTGTGGCATACCGAGTATGTCAAATTTAGGCTGCGTATGTCTGATTATTTTATTTAAATCTGTAAACGTGCTTTTCTTTTCAGTAATACTTGACATTTCTTTTCTGTTCCACAGTTCCATACATGAGGTTCGGACAAACTTGACCCAAGTGCAGCTGGGAATGCTGGAGCTACACAAGCAATCCTGGTCATGTGCTGTTCTTGCACTCATGGGTATGCTCTTTACCTATGAGGAGATGGCAGACAGCATAGTTTCAGCATTTAGATTAAAGGAGGAGAATAAGGGAAGCAGTTGCTTGACCAAGACAAGGTGGATGCCATCATTGGTGAGGCATTTTACTATAAAATATACTTTGTGCCCCTTGGCTCATAGTACTAACAATGCTAATGGGAAATTGCTTTTGATTAGAAAAAGCATAATAAATTGCTGAATGTATGTCGTTTTTAAAGTTTTCTTTTTAAATTCAGTTGATTTCAGACTTTGACTAATTATATGTAGACCAAAGTCCAAAATATGAAACTATAACCTTTAATCTGGTATCTAAGCAATATTTTCTCATATTCGATGCTATACAGCATGTTTATTTGCAAATTTATGATTTACGAACCTATACTTTTACTCAAGCATATCTTTAACAACCGTTTACAATGTACGTTAGTTTTATACGTGGCATCTTGTTAACACAAAAGCGAATAATTTGTAATGTCTGGGAGGGCAAAATGTCATTTAGGAAAACATTTACTTTATGATATTTCTTTTCAGGTAATGTAGGGTGGATATGCAGATTTTTTACATATTTTGTATTCATCACCTATCATTGTTAATGATTACAAGTTCATGCTAGCAGTTGAATTCGAAGTTGTAACATTTCTCTCATTTATTTTTATTTTTTTCTTCATCATAGAATATGCTATGGGAAGATTGCTAGGAGTGACCTCCGCAGAAAATAAGAGGAAGATGGGCCAAAAACTGAAGGACACCAGGGTAGCACGCAGGAAAAAGCCTGTCAAATGGTCATACAGCATCCAAGGGCAACTTTTTGAGACTGGAAACTGCTAAATATCTTGATGTTCACCTCAAGAGCAACCTGAATTGGACAGATCACATAAGGACAACAACAAATAAAGCCAGCTCTGTCGGTGCATTTTTGCAGTGGAACATTAGGCCTTGCCTAAGTGAGACGAAAACGTTGTTCTTCTTTGCTCTTGTTCGCCCAATCCTGGAGTATGCGTGCACAGTGTGGGATCCTCACCCGGGACAACATACACAGGCTGGAAATGGTACAGCTCCGCAACGCAAGGTTTGTCACTGGACATTACCATCATACCAGCAGCATCGCACCAATGCTGCAACATCTCAAATGGCCATCTCTCCGAGAACGCAGGGCATGGTTTAAGATGGTGATGGTGTACGGGACTGTCAACCTGCACTCAGAGTTTCTCAAAATCTACCTTCTATCGGTGTTAACATCCAACCATGGTCATACCCAGCAATTCCAAATACAATTTACAAGGACTCCCTGATTTCATCATGCTTTGGAACTTGCTACCTTTTAAGCAAGAGGTACAAAATGTCCATCTCCGTTAGAAGGGGAAGAAGAATTTTTTAACTGCACATAGAATATTATAGAAAGTTTTAAATTTGCACTGTATATTCGCGACACCAGACCTGACGTACGTGATACACCATACGGTGGACTGAAGTGATATCTCAAGATCTGGGGGATGATAATTCGGGCTTTAACAAATTGCATGATAGTGGAGGTACTATTTTTGACTACACAGTCGGAAGTTCCATCTAGTTATAATATCCTAACATCAGTATAGTATCGCTAGAACAAAACAAAACAAATCATAAGTTACTTATGTAGTTTAGGAAGTACATATATTTATGTATGCCATTCTGCTTTTTTTCTGTGCCACCGTATATAGAGTGTATGGTTATTTATTTGTGAAAACATGAGCAAAAGCTATTTTTTTCTCATCTTCAGGTATTTATTAGTATTAGTTGTAGAGATTTATGTAGCCATAAAAGCAAAAACGTGTCTGCCTAAATTAGATATGTTTTCAACTTTTTTCAAGATGTATTGACAGAGATGTTTTGAAACTTGTTTTCATCTTAATAGGTTTATGAAGAACCTGTATGTGCCAAAGATTTTCTGATACATTGCAATTGCCAAAGTTACATAATCATGTGTGGATATTTTATACTTGGAAAATGTGACTAGCCATAAAATGTATGTTCATAAATGTAATATACCTACAAAAATGTTTAAGAGATATTGCCAGAGAAGCTCTAAAACTATTTTTTATACTGCTGTAACATGCTAATGTGCTTTTATTATGTTTTACGAGTTTCTTAACACCTTTAAAATACATTTTCAGGGAAATATTAATGATATGTGCTAATTGTTTGCCGTCACTGTAATCTATGCCTCAATGTTATACAGTAGAACCTCTATAACGTGTATTAAGAGGTAACTGATACGGCAAGGTTTTTTTCAC